TGTCTCGTGATGTAAGCCAGACACTGTGTGGCACCGAATTTTTTCGGGTTCTTTTTTTTGCGATATATTTTCTCGATTCGCCCAAAAATATTCCCTGCAAAATCAATCCCTGCAAAAAAGAAATTATCACAGTATCAACCTTGAAGCAAAATTGAGTTGGTGTCTAAAACGATCCATCAGCCAATGGTAGTGTGTTTTTTTATTGTTACTGTACTGTGTACCAGGTATAGGTACAAGGTGCGGAAATGGCCTCCCGCTAATTCTAGCCTGCGAACAGTACAGGCTTTCGCGAACAGGCTTTCCGGGCGCACTCAGACGGCGGGGAAAATAGGAGCGTTTCCCGCCGTCTGAGTACGCCCGGAAAGCCTGTTCGCAGGCTACGCTAATTCGCGCACCGCGTACACATCGCACCTCGATATCCTGAGAGAAAAATACAAAGTTTTTTGCACTATACTAGTTATGCACCGTTTCACTCACTCGTATGGCTCATGCAAAGGTCAGGAACATTGTTTTTGTAGCCTGCGTGCAGACAACTCCTATTTCCTTGCTTCACGCGCAAAAGCACGCGCGTGAAGCAAGGAAATAGGAGTCGTCTGTACGCAGCTATGTTTTTGTTTCTCGCCCGCGTTCTTTGGCTTTTTTAAACGCTCCTCTCTTGCGGTTATAAACTTGGAAAAATTGCTTTTCTCCAACCAGTCGCTTAAAAATTGGAGGGATTTCCCAGCAAAGAAGTCCGCTAACTGGGGCATGTCGGCCCATGTGGTTCAACGCAAATTTTAGCCCCATAAACCCCTTGCGCGTCTAGATACTTCAACTATCCCCACCCCTACCCCCGGAACAAGACTAAAATTTCAAAATTCCCATCCCCGGGCCACAAGGCTTGAATTTGTGTCGGGGCTTACCCGGGGGGAGGGGGGGGGGGGGGGGGGGGGGGGTGATGGTGTTGAGCTATCAGTTCCGCCCATCGCGCCGAAATAGACACAGCCAAATCCGCCATGGATAAGTCATGTTTGGAAATGTCGCCCTTTTTGAAAACGAGGAATTGTACGAACCTACGTTAAAAAAAAAATGCACCCGCGAGTCGTGCACAATATCTCAAGAAAAATAGACTGTTTTGATGCAGTACGTTTAGTTCGATTGTGTTCGGCCAGGCCTACAGGTCACACTTGTGACTGTTCCACACGTGCTTTGAGAGCCCATGCACTGGGCTGAAGGGAAGGCAGACTACATTGTACATGTATACCCTTTTTACTTTTTGAGGATCGTTTCGCTGACAAGAAGGCACTTCCACCAATGGCAAACAGCAGGACTATGAAACTGACTGGCTTCCACGAAAGTGGCGGAAAACCGTGCTGAAGTTTAACGAAAGTTTGACACGTGCGACCCACGAGACATAAAACTTGAGGCGAGTATCATTTATAAAAGCAATTTTGTAGCCTGGTTTCCATATGATCGCAACAATCGCAGTCGCAACGATCGCTATATGGAAAACCACTCTTGCGATCGTTGCGATCGTTGCGATCATATGGAAACCACTCTTGCGATCGTTGCGACTGCGATCGCTGCGATCATATATGGAAACCAGGCTTAAGAGATTTGCGTGACTCATGGGCGAGTCTAACATTCTTGGAGTCTTTCAGTACACACACATTGTTAGTAGACACACACCATTGTGTTCTGTTGTATTATAATCCCGAGTGAAAAACATGGTTCTCTCGTCGTTTACTATTTAATAATTAGACGGCGGCAAGCTCGCTCGGCTGATATGTCTGCGCTCTGTTTGCAGCAAGGAGCTACTAAAGTCGTGTTCGCCTATCATACGAAGGACCCAGTCTCTGAAACGGACATCAAGCATCACGTGTTTCGAGGCGCTAAGACCATCTTATTGCTTAACAGCATGGACAAAAGAGACATCAACGAGACGGCTGGACTACGTACGCTCCTGACTACAAAGAACGTAAGAAATAATCATATTTAATCGTTCTGGTACAGTTTTACAACTTCATTTTGTTCCGTATCATTTTATTTCAGACAGGCTCACTGAGCGATGTGTGCCATCTATGGAGGCTCTCCTTAGACTACGAGCAGTTCCTTCTCCCGCTTAGTCAGTCCGTCGAGCGAAAACTTTAAATATAGCGAGAGAAAAAAAATGGCCGCGCCAAAATCTCTCTGAAGAGCAATGCGCATAGAAGGCTTATGTTCACCATGCCAGGGCGCAAGGAAAACAAATATTTTTCTGCTGCGCCCTATTTTAAAGGGGCACTATCATGAGTATCAGTTGAAAAGTCAAAAGCCAAAGGCGGACATCTTTATATTATTGGAAACCTAAAAAATAATGGTCCAGTTTTGTGAAAAATCAGTACATTTACCAGTGTAGTGAAGCTATACAAGGAGTGCTATCATGAGTTTCCCATAGGAGCTTTTGATCGTTTTTTTGAAAAAGTCGGGCAGACTTTTTCAAATTATGCCCTTGTGTCTTAGAAAAATCGGTAAAAACTAATGACGGTTTGCTCTCTCATCAACAATTCACTTGGATATCTCCTCTTGATGTTCTAGGCGCATTTCGTTTATGAGCTAAGTAGTTAGTCATAATTATTGCACCGTTTTTGGCCAAAAAAAAGCAGAAAAAAACGCGTGATAGTGCCCCTTTAACACAGGTTTCTTTGCTTTATAGGTAACAGTCCCTACAAAAAGAGACTACTTACTGGGTGTACTCTGCTCAAAGTTCCCGAGTAAAACCAAGCATCGCATCACAAAGGTATTAGAAATTCATGTGAATATTATTTAATTACATGTTTTATAAAATTGTGTTCAATATATAACGCTCACTCTGATTGGTTGCTTAACCGTTTCGATCAGCTTATGAAGACAAGTGTTATGACGTCACGTAACCGTTTTATAGACTTTTATTTTGTAAAAGAAATACAAACAAGTTGCTTTGCGCTTGCATAATTATAACCTAACCTGATGTAGCCACTTGAGGGAATTTGGAAGAATTCAGAAGAACTTATGGGCTCGGGTTTACATAAACGTTTAAATTCTCCCGAATTCTCCAAAACCGTCCTCGCTCTCGTGTTTGGATAAGGATATGTTATTTTTTTTGCGAGCCATTTTCTATTTCTAGGAGGTAATGACCCAAGGAGAGGATTCACTGTTACAACACAGAATCAATTCCAGGCTATTTTTGCTTAATTGATACGCGAGAAAAAGCCGTCGAGCCCAACATGAACAAAAAAACATTTCTTCTCAAGTTTTATTTGATACACGTACTTGTCTTTACAATTTTTCAGGTCGAGCCGATAATACAGAAAGGAAATGAAGGTTTTGTTCATCACCTCGTCTTATACGAATGCGAAGGCGACTTTTCTGAAAATGACTATGGTCAAGGTGTGGACTGTCACAATGTCGCCAACATGCCGTACGCCAAGTGTCGAGCAGCTAGTATAGTCGCTGCCTGGGCGGTGGGAGGAGAGGTAAGCCATGTTTTAAATAACATTCTGAACATTATATACAGTCGAAGCTCTCTGAGCAGACACTCTCATAAGCGGACAGCTCTACTTACGGCCGCCTTGACAAAACCACGTTTGAACTCTAGCTCATACAAACTCTGCATTTACATATGCCAAGAAGCGGCCAGCTCCAGTTGCGGACACTTTTTTCTGCTTCCCGAGGATGTCCGCTTACGGGGAGCTTCCACTGTATTTAACTTTGTTCTTATGGGCAAGACACAGCACCCACAAATGATCTGGGGCGAGCGTGAAAATATAACGACTGAGGAGAGACGCACGTCATCGATATGTCGGGAGAAAGAAAAGTGATTGTTTTGCAGTCTAATGCAAGAAACAGCTTCCACGATGCTACATATTTCATCGCTGAAAATCTCTTCGAAATCACTGTTTTTGCTACTTGCTTTCGCTCACGTTCTCTAAAACAGATAGACTGTAAGCAGTTCCTCTTTCGTGAGTTGGAGGCACGAGCGAGCAGATATGGCGCTGAAAGAGGGACAACAGGCGCATAAGTAATAATAACCACTCTCAGTTGTGCGCCTTCTCTTGCGCGAGAGGGGGAGGGGGAGGGGGGGGGGGGGGGGGGGTGTTAAGCTTCCAGGCTCGAATTAAGCACAACCTTTGGAGATAAGATGTAGAGTTCGTAGTATTTCGCATTTCATAGTGTTTATTTTTTTTACTTCCTTGTTCACCAGGCGTTTTATTATCCGCCGCATGCTGGATTCCCACTCGGAGCAAGCGATTCACCCAGAAAACTTTCTGCTAGAAATGCCATTATGACAATCCAGAAAATGTAGCAGGTAACTAACTGACGCAAGGGTTTATCATATCCAACACACTCCGCACACTCCGGGAATATTCTGGTGTACGTTTACTAGGTTCACTAGGATCGTCATGTGACAACATCCCGCATACAGCTAGGATTCGCGCGCTGCACGAAAAGTTGCCTTTGACCTACACCTTTGACTAGGGTCACAGGTGACAAAGGCCGTCTTTGCCATACCTTTGACGCACGTCACAGATGGGCAAAGGCCGTCTTTGAATTTGGTCAAAGATGGTACGCCTTTGACCTTAGTCAAAGGTGGAACAAAGGTATTGCCAAATTTGACTTTGACTGGGTCAAAGGTACCTTTGACTGCGGTCAAAGTTGTTACTAACTTTGACGCGCGTCAAAGCTTGTCAAAAGGCGATGTCAAAGGTGTTGTTTACCTTTGACCACTGTGGCAAAGATAGTCGTCCATCTTTGACTCACCTTTGACGCGAATCAAAGATGAGACAAATCTAACTTTTCGTGCGATAGGAGAGAGTGTGAGAAAGAAATGACGGTGTTGGTAGAAATATGAGAAAAAATGCCGAAAATGAATTGCAAGCTACTAGACAAAAACAATCCGAGTTCTCTTCACAGAAGTAGCTTGTGTCACCAAGATTAAACATATACCGTATGTTTGTTTTCTACACAGTGTTTAGTTATTTCTCAGATCATTATCATTATATGGCCGGGAGGCGTGGTGGCCTAAGGTTAGCGCGTTGGACTCCGGATCGAACGGGTCCGGGTTCGAGCCCTGGCCTGGATAATTATGTTGTGTTATTGGGCAAGTATCCCTCTCCACCCAAGATTAAAATGGGTACAGGTACAGATTAGAATGGGGTAACTTTCGATGGACTAGCATCCCATCCAGGGGAGTAGCAATACTCCTAGTCGCTTCATGCTACGGAAACCGGGATAAGCTCCGGCCAACCTGCGATCAGGCGTCTTTTTCCTCAGTAAAAAATATAAACCTCTTTTCGCTTCCACCGACTTTCGCTCGAAAACAAAAAGAGCGCCTGGTCGACAATTATGGGCCACTAGGCCCGGAGTTAAGACTTTAAGCCTGGTTTTCACTAGCGACACAAGCATAAGCGCAAGCACAAGAGTTCTGCACAAGTGAAAACGAACGCAAGCGCAGCGCAAGCACAAGCACAAGAACGAAATATTCACCAGCGAATATTTGATCATTGTTAAAAAACAGGTTTTTGTGCATTTGACTGATGGAAAACATTATGCATCGATTGGTTTACTCAATGACTGAAACCTCGAACAATTTGATTTTTGCTTGAAAGTGAAACGAACAATTTTCACGTCAGCGACATTTTTAATAACTCACAAATAACTTTCGTAAGATGATTTTCTGAATTACCTTTAATTGTTTTGCTCAAAAATTCCTTCAAAAAAATATCAAAATCACTGCTTTTTTCCTTGCGCTTGTGTTATGTTCCGTTTTCACATGCGACGCAAGCATAAGCGCAAGCACAAATATCAAAATAGTTTGATCCTTGTGCTTGTGCTTATGCTTACGTCAAGCCGGTTTTCACGGCGAAATTAGGGCTATGGCGCTTGCGCTTGTGCTTGCGTCGCTAGTGAAAACCATGCTTTACCATTATAATTACCACTCTCTAGGCCGAGTTGACAGCTCGGGTATCCGCATTTATTACACCGATCAGCTTCGACAGTATGACAGTGGAGCTATAGGGGTGGGAGTTCCAACAAGTGAATGGCAACATTATTCCTCCAAAACAGAAAAGCTGGATGTCTCTCGGCTACTGCACTGAAAAATGCACAAAGGTAAGTGTACAACCTTGTTCCCAGGGCTTTCTCGTTTTTCAAGATGGCGGCTGATCCGATCAGCGAGATGACACTGGGAACGAGGTTGTAATGAGAGTTTTCCAACCAAGTGCGCCATCTAGCTCAACTCAACTTTAACTTCAACTGTTACAAATGTCTCATTGGTCGTTCCGTGACACATGATACAGTACTAGTTTTTGCGAAGTTTTGTTTTGTCGATTTTTGTTGCACGGGGAATCAGTGAAAAGCAAACTACAGTATTTCTGGAAAAAAATAAATATTTGAAACCTTGTAATATCCGGGCACTACTGAATACCGGTGTGTATTTTCGCGCCAAAAGTAAGTTCGTGGGTGCTCTATAGCCGTGTGGTGCTTGGCGGCATACCTTTTACTGCATGAGAAATTAAACAGCCGTAAAACAGCCGTTTCGAACCTTATATTTTGGGTCTAGGTAAATAACACAGTCGGTTACGTCCAACGGCCGTTTTGAGGTTTGCCAGTATCCCTGTTGGGGCGTTATGCACCACATGGCGTAAACAGGGCTATGTACTGAAGTAGCATAACTACTGTATACCTTTTACTGCATGAAACAAACTTGTTCTACTGACATATTATTACTATTTCAGTCCATTTTTAAAATCGACATCTTTAGCTGGAGGTGGTTATCAACGTATTCGCTGCTTTGCTTCACACTCACTTGGCAGGTAAACAAGGACAGTCAACTCCTCTTTATAATGCAAAATGTGACTGTGGTCTCTTTATTATTGTTTGAGCAAAAATCCAAAACGTTTAAGACTCGCGGGAAGACTGAAATAACGTTGAAGATCGTAGTTTCTTTTTTCACTTTAAATTTGACGGTTTCGTACGCTTTGCGTTTTCAAGACTTTCACAATTTTCGTCACTCTGCTAACATTAACTCAAGCCGTTTCTTTTTTTCTTATATATTTTCTCTTTCTTAGGAGTTGGTATCTGGACTAAAACATGTTCGCAATGGAAAGAACTTCCAGAGATTGGTCGCGATAACAACTACGACTTCAATTTCCAGGTATGGTCGATCATTTTTAGATGCGGAAACCATGTGGGAGGCATGCGCATGGTTGGCCTAATTGACTCCAAATCGAGCGGCGCTAGCTGGGGTCATTGTGTTGTGTTCTTGGGTAAGAAACTTAACTTTCACATTGCCTCTCTCCACCCAGGAGTAAAAGCCTGGGGTACCGGCAACCAACCTGATCAAAAATGCTGAGGGGTACCTGCCATAGACTACAATAGCATAGCAATACTCCTAGTTTGCTTCATGGGGAGTTTTCACGCCGGCCTGATTTGCCTCCTAGCCGGGCCTTGTAGACAGACTTAAACCTTTAACCTTCATTGCGCCGGCCCTCCTAATATTTTTCCATGGCCAGTGCATGCTAATAAATTTAAATCAGGGGTTTTACTCGACGCTTGAAACGACAAGTCACCCTGGCCTGTCAAAATTGAGAGTTTGAAAGTTTGAGAGAGACGTCTGTCGTTCAAATCCATACCGATGACGTTAGCTCTACAAAGATCCGTGTAGTGTCTCTGATTGTTTGTTGCTCGGTTTTGCCTCGTAAGAAACGATACGGGTCTCTGTAGTGCTACGTGATCAGTATGGAATATATTTTTCGGCTCAAATCTCAAACGACTCTCGATCGGGGAAAGAGTCTGTTTACTCGTCGAGCTTCGTAACTATCTTGCAACTACACTAAGAAAAGAGTCTGAATGGCTTATACCTTTTCCATCTCTGCATGACGGGCTTATGGAATAAAAAAGATAGTCCTAGCTTCCCAAATAATTTTTCTCCAAGTTATATAATTTATTTACCAATACAATCCGCACCCACACTGTGCAAACACACACCGTGGCGTTTTTTTCTTATAGGGTACGAGGTACAAGTCTTATAATTACTTGTTTTTTTTCCAGGACATTCAAGGTTCTCAGGAAGAAAAAATCAATATTCAGCCGGTGAGCAAGAATTGTCATATCATTACTATTTATAGAAGATGCATGAAGGACTGCTCTATAGTAGACCGACTTTACTGAATGGAAAATACCATTGTTTCGTTGCTTGTTTTAACCCATCCACATTTTTTGTAACAATATGGTAAGAAAGTGTGTGTGAAAACTCCTAAAGCTTCCTTAAAGTGGCCAAGTTCAAAATTAAAAAAATATATAAATTGCAGTCAGTTCGCCAAAATATCGAGAAAGAAACAACACTAAATAGATGAAATTAAAGTACTGCCTCAATAGCTTTCATTTGAATGGTCCCACGGGCCTAGGAAGTAGTGTGGAATAAGTAATATATCAAACACGAGAGACAGTGTTTCATCAGGATATCCAAACACCGAAAATGGCAGTTGAAAATACGACGCGCCAGCGAGTATTTTGGACGGAAGATTCGAGGTGTTTGGATAGCCGATGACAAAACACTGTCTCGAGTGTTTAGATATATCTTCTCAATCGAACAAAAACTAAGGAGTAAACGGAGAAATTAAAATCGTAAAAAATCTATGCTAAATTAAGACCGGTTTCCAACCTCCGACACGTTATGATTTCCTTGTTTTAAACTTGATGAATTATTAATGAGTTTGAGAATAAAGTTTGAAAAAATTAATGCAAATTTTAAATTTTACGATTTGAAATAAGCCCCCTTCCTCTGTAATAAGCCCCCCCCCCCCCCCCCCTTCCTGAAATTAAGTACGTCCCCCGGGGGGCGGTTTTTTACGGTAATCTCTGATAGGTATAATGTTCCGCGTTTTTTAATGTGTTATTCTTTAGGGAAGACGAGTTGATCAACTACTGTAAGTACGATTCCCTGGACAGAGATTAAACTGATCAAGGTAAGAAATTCAAAAATGAGTTAGAAAATCACACAAATGAATTATCCACCACTTTTCACCGACACTGAGTGAATTATTGTTTTAGTATATACCACACAAGTGAATAGCCAGCCCCAAACAGTGAATAGCAAAGACTATTCCATCAAATATTTTTCTCGCGCGCGATTGGTCTAACAAACGTCACGTGACCCGCAGCCAAACTGGGGATATCCAGTGGTGTAAGCTCCGGCAGTGCATGTGGGCAGGTTTGGCCCGAGTATCGCACTTTTTGATTTAAGACACAAAAGAATTTCGTTTGAAGTACGCTTTATTTGCGAAATTAAAATTGGATATTTGTTCCTTTTATTGTGAACCTGACCATTCATGGAACTGTCTTAGCCTGTGCTCTAATCACGGTAACAATGTCTTGTCATTTACGAAACTTTTGTATTATTCAGGGAGGTATTTCCTCAAGAGATGAGATGTGTGCTTCGGACTTCATATTCTACTATCCTCGTATACCGGGCGTCAGATATTGTCATAGCCAGACATTTGAACCTTCTTACAAACTTATCGACAAGTACTTGTGAGTATACATACCGTAGAATTCAGAAAGTAACGGCCCACTGTGGATGTAACAGCCAAAGGGTCCGCTACTTTCGGGAGTAGCCGTTTACTTTCGAGTAGCCGTTACTTTCGGATGGTTAAGAAACGTTTGTAATTCAGCAAACCGTTTTACACAGGGAGGACACGGAACATATTTTTCGCGTTCCAGTTATTTTATTGTCAGTTGTTAGAGACAATTACTGATTTGGAAAGAATTTGGTGTAGTATTAGAGCCCAATGGTTGCCACGTTCTAGTTTTTTCACTGCATGTTCATGAAAATAGGAGACGATTGTGTTTGGTATTCCCTGTAAATTAAGAAAGAAACTTTTTAACCTTCCCAATGTTTGTTGTTTGGCTTGTTTTTTAAAGTCCCTGATGTAAACGTCACTTCCTGTCAAAACAATCCGCCTGACCAATATGAAACATCGACTGGACTGATGAGATGGTCCGCTGACTTCAGAATATACAAGATGACGTCAAAAGATGTGTTTCCCCTATGTGGGATCGCCAACATAACGACCATTGCTG